TATATATTATGGTAATATAACATTTAATGCTTAGTCTACATTTTGTAGCCAGCACTGTTTTCCATGGAATCCTCAGCTGGGGTTTGGGCAGCTGATAAGAAAACCAGGGAATGAGGTGAACGAGAGATACATGCATGGCCTATCGCCCTTTGACATGAGCCATGTGCAGCCAGCGTGTGACCCAGGGGAGGGAAGTGACAGAGGGAGATACTGTCAGTCTGCATGATATCTAAACCACACTTCACTGACATGGATATCGTAGTCTCCAGAGTTACTCCTGCCTGTCTCTCAAGAAACGTTTGTTGTTAACCCCCTTAGTGCATGTAAGCAGAGGCATTAAACATCCATTAAGCCTTTAAAGGAGAACTATGAGGTGAGTGCTTTTCACTCACCTCATAGTTCTAGCCGACCTGTGACAATGAGACTGTCACAGGTCGGCTCAGTAGATCAGGAGGTGAGCGAACACATACCGGGTTCGCTCGCCTCTCGATCCTGTCACGGCTCTCTGCCGTGACAGGGGAGGGGCTGGATTCCCCTCTCCGATCTGCCAGCGCTGACTGGCGGAACGGACGGGGGAGGGGGCGGGTACAGCTGGCTCTGCCTCTAGATAGGGATCCGCTCTGGCTGCGGCGTCTCAGTATTCTCACGGTATACTGAGCTTAGGGTAATGGGAGGACGCTAGTTTGTGTCCTCCCGTTACCCTAAGGAGAACTATGGGGAAAAACACTGACCCCATAGAAATGTGCAGTACCATGCAATGTCATTGGTTCATACGAGGACAAGAGCATTGCATTGCTTCCAAACCTGGGTGCCTGCTGATATGTAGACCGTATAGTATGGGGACGGTGCTGCAAGAGTTATGTTGTATGAAAGTATAGTTATTATTTAATTGGAAATTTAGAGATTCAGGTCCTATATGACAGCGCTCTCGCAGAGGGCGAATTGGAGGAAAAAGGGGGACTGTGGGGTGTAGGTAGCCGTGGGGGAACGGTTATTGTGCGGCTTCTAATTAGTATGGACCGGAGTGTCCAACTATTGTAAATGCTAAACAATAAAACACAGTTTGAAGCGCTACAACCAAGGATAGGGAGGATGGAGTATGTTTAGGCTGGGGCACACAAGATGGATTTACACACACATCATGTGTGCCCCAGCCTAAACATACTCCATCCTCCCTATCCTTGGTTGTAGCGCTTCAAACTGTGTTTTTTTTGTTTTGTTATTATTTAACCCTTTCCCCATTCTTAAGCATGGTCCTTAAAGTGAGCTCATACTCTTAGGGTGAATTAACACCGAAATGTGTGCATTGGACATGACTCGATGCAAGTGCGTTCACTTGCATTGGCACAGTATATTGAAATGCGTTTTGTTGTGTTAAAATAATAAAATAATGTTTACACTAAGATATATAAGGTATTGGTTCTACCTTGCGTTGATGTGCGTTGCATTGTCACACGTTAAGCATGCATTGCGTTGCACTGAAAAAAGTAGACCGCTAAATAAAAGGTTATGTAGTAAGGTTAGGGCAGGAGCAGAGGACCTGGGTCAGCACAGACAGTAGCCTGCTGTACTTATTTTTTCAGTTCAAGGCAGGACACATCAACACAAAGCACTGATGTGAAGTGTTCCCATTCATACTTATTCATTTTGAGATTTTCTTGCATGGGCATACACAAATTGATGCATCTGGTGTAAATGGAGCATTAACCTACACCAACTTAAACTGTTAACACGTAATCCCCCTGCCCTCAATAAACTTAAAGTGCAACTGAAGGCAAAACCTTTTTTAGTTGTTCATAAAGTGGAGAGGGATTAGAACACCTTTCAGGTTTTTACTGCTGTCTGTGTCCCCGGGCGATTCACCCTCTCTATTTGTCCTGTTGACCGAAATCAATCATTTTGGTTGTCATCAGAAAAAGATTAGATGGGAAGTCTTCCAATGGGGATACTAGTTCTGGTGATACTGTCAACCTCCAGGGATTTCATTTTTTTTATTTATTCTCACTTCCTGTTATGGCTAATGGACAGGAAGTGAAGGGAAATCTTCCCAATGGGACACAGATTGCAAAAAAAGATGACGGGTTTTAACACTCCCTGGCTTTATACAAAACTACAAGTTTTGGTCTCAATTCTGCTTTTCCTCTACCGCTAAACTAATCCTTAATACTAAAAACCCTTTATTGGCACCGTAAGCCAATAGCACCGATCACACTGCTCCTAAAGTAAGTGCTTAGTTAGCAGAAAGTAAATTACTAAAAGGAAATTAGCTTAGGTTAATATAGATTTCATGACTGGTTCTCTTAAAATGTTGCACAGCTGCACCTTTTCTAGCACAGCCTGCTGTGATTTGTAGTCCCCTGTCAGTCATTAGCATCTTGCAGCAGAAGTCTGGTAACGGCTCACAGCAAGATAGACATGGGACCCTCCCTGAGCATTAAATGTCATGGTGCAGACTTTTCATTGGGATCTATGTCTAATTATGGATGAAATGAAACTACAAAACTCATTACACATATCATTTAAGCTGAGTCTAAATCACAGCTGCTTTCCCAGAGGTAAAAGGTAGCAGCTCACACAGTGTTCCAACCTAATAAATCCATTTTTCATTTAAATGCCTCAGCCACTAGAGACAGTTCTTTTATTCTCCGCTGTTCAGCAATCCCTTGCTTAAAATGTTGCAGTGCCTGATCGCATTATAATCAGCAAAGCACACTGCAGTCCCCTTAGTACAAAAAGTGGTAATATATATAAATACATATTAACATTTGGCTGTGTTCGGATAGACTCGGAAGTGACAGCTTACTCTTGCAACTCACAGCAGGAGGAGGAAAACACATTACTACTTATATGCATTAGTGGATTGCGGAGGATAACCAACG